TGCCTTAGACATAACATAGAACTGCTATTTTCCAACAACCATGGATATTCTAAAATTTAAATCCCTGTAGAATGTGAAAAAAAATTACATTTTTACACAGAAATTTAGAAATCAAACCATATACAACATTGTTTCTGGACAATCTTATGACTTTTTTTTGTCTCTTGTTTTTTTTTTTTATTACTTTTTTTTTTCAAACATTTACTTTAAAGAGAGTATAGCAATAATTAATATGACACTGGAAGCAGTACTCATTTAGAAGACCAAAATGACAGGTATTTCAAGCATGGCATTAGTATTACATATTGCTATCCTCAGTGTAGTTGTTTAGTTCACAGATATCAGCATATGGAGTTAGTCAGGGTAAGAATTCTACTCATTAACTGCTATTTTCAAAAACCTGATGGAGATTCTTAGGACCATTGTCTTAAGCATCTTGTTTATATAAATGTATGGTTTTCCCCCTGCCATTTTTCCTAACTTTTCTTTCTCTTCGTTGTTTTATCCTTAAGTTCACACTTTCTATTTAACTGTGTTATACCTTTCAATTTTTATTTCTTCTTTTGAGTTCTTACACTAGGGAGACAACATGATATTTACACATGTGGGTCTGGTTTATTTCACTTATGAGTATATTGTCAAGTTGCATCCACTTATACATGAAGGCTTCGACTTTATTTTTCTTTGTAGCTGATAATACTCCATTGTATAAAAACACTACATCTTTTTCATCCATTCCTCAGGTGATGGGCATTTTGGTTGTTTATTTTGTTGTTTATAATTTCTTTCTTTTTGTTGTTGACTGATACTCTTTTATATAGATATGTCAGAAGTTGTTTATAGTTATTGGGTTTTTTTTGCAAATTTAGATTGTTTCCAGTTCTTGAGATATTATGAATAAAAGATGTTGCCATAAAATTCCATGTACAGTACAGGTAAATTGGAAATATATATTTATATATTTTTATATATATTTATATTTTTTATTTCTTTATGTAAGTTCCTGGGCCTGGAGCTCAGGGGCCATATGGTAAGTATATATTTAACTTATAAGAAAATGAAATCTGTTTTCAAAGTACTTGTACTATTTTACATTCCCAGTAGAAGTATGTGAGAGTTGCAGTTCATAGCATCATTATTCATAACAGCTAAAAATGGAAGCAACCCAAATGTTCACTGACAGATACATGAATAAACTGTGGTTTATTCATTCATAAGAACAGAATAAATAATTAAACAGAGCTATAATCATCCACATGATTAAAACATATTAAACAAAAATCAAGACAAAGAATATATATATCTGATATATATGTGTATATTTTTAAAATATGCTATGGTTTAGGAGTGGAGAGGAGTAGGGTATTTCAGAGATGTTGGTAGTGTCCTGCTTTTCTACACAAATATGTGTGATATACTTTTATAGTGAAAGAAAAATACAAAGAACCGAGCATGGTGGTGTACACTTACAATCCCAACACTCTCAGTGGAAGAGCTCAAGTTTGAGAATAGCCTGGGCAAGTGACTTAATGAGATCTTATCTCAAAATAAATAAATAAATAAATAAATAAATAAATAAGGGCTGATGATATACCTCTGTGCAAAGATCCTGGGTTTAATATTGGACACAGTCCTACATTGTCATGTATTTTTCTACTTCTACTTAATATTCTTTTTCTTTCTTTCTTTCTTTCTTTCTTTCTTTCTTTCTTTCTTTTTTATTTAGGATAGGGTTACAAGGTCTCACTTTGTAGATCAGACTCATAGTGATCCACCTGTTTACAGCTTCCCAAGTGATGGGATTACAGGTTCGTGCCACCACACCTAGTCTCAATTGCCATCCAGTGTGCTCTGGGGACCAGGCCAGCACAGCAGGCCCAGGGATTGAACCCCCAGTCCCTGCTTCTGCTTGCAGGCTCTTTAATCCACTGAGCTATTTGGCCAGCCCTTTCTTTATATTTCTTTTGAGAAGTGGAAGACTTAGTCTTGATTATTCTCTGAGAGAATTTAGATGTCTTACTCTTAGCAACATTAATGGCAGTAGTTAAATTCTTTTTGTTGAAATGAGAATATAGGCCACCTGATAACAAAAATAATTCAGTAGAATTATTTATTTTTTGAGTAGAAAATTTTATCAGGGCACAGTGTGTCCTCTATTTCTTTTCCAATGGAATGATTTAAAACGGAAGTTTAAAACCTTCATAAAATGATCTGATAGACAAATATAAAGTCTATATCAACAATCTAGACAGCCCAGTTGGCCACTTACTGGATAAGAAGACTGCAATATTGACAATCAGATTTCCTCTGTCTCCCTTCTAGGTCATATCATAGCAATATAAATTCAAGAAATTGAAAATTTCATAAGGTGAAAAATGCCAGTGGAGGAAAAGTCAAGAAATAAGTTTTTCATGTGTTTTAGCAATATTAAAAAAGCTATAAATTAGAGCTACATCAGATGGTACTTTTTATCTCCTTCCCTTGACATTAAATTTCAAGGGCAATATTTTTATACAGTTATAACTTGATTATAACTGTGATTATAAATATATTAGATACCATAAAGTTATATATTTGAGTAAATTTACACCCCCAAGAAAACTTTTACTGCAACTCAGGTACAAAATTTTTAATGGCTGGAAATGAAATGTGAATTACTACAGAAGCAATTTCAAATATACAGGGCTAGGGAGATGAACCTTTAGTTTATTAAATAATAACAAAATAATGGTAATTGAACATTGATGCAATTACTATTAAAATACAAACTCCCCAAATTAAAAAAATTGTTTCAATACCAATCACTGGGCTTGACTTTTTAAAAAGTTGGAACCAAGATGTTAGATTAGAAGTAATCATTTTAAGCAGTAAAGTCATTCTTTTATTGTGATCCATATTATTTAGAAACCTTGAAACTGTATTTTTCTCCCTACCGTTATATGAGAGATAGTAAAGAAGTCATCTAAAAGTAGAATTGGTCACACCAGTTATTTTCTAATGCTCACAAGTGGCTGTCAGAGTGGGAGCTTCTGAAAAATCAGTTACTATTCCATAGCTGTTGGTTACTGCTAAGTCAGCACGCTCAATTTTACATAGTGGACTTCAGCTATTTGTATGAATTAAATCAAAGACTGTCCTATCCCAGCTGCAGGATAGATGTACTTGATGCCACTATAACTCAGTGCTTTTAGCAGGATCCTATTTCACTGGAGAGAAAACTAGACTAGCACACATTAAGTAAATTGTCCCGTATCTTGGCTCACTGCAGACACAGCATTAGGGTCTCTGTTTCTGAACTCATTTGGGTTTCTATGATATCATCACTTCTGTATCTGGTGCTTGTGTTCAGGTAAAAATAAAAATTAAGATGTCACTGTGCTAGTTAGCTTGCTGTTACATAACAAATACCCGAGGTGATGATTGCCAGCGTCTCAGTTGCTCTTCTCTCTTATTGCTGGGACAAATAACCCCACTCAAAATTAGGGAAGGAAAGGCTTATTCAGTTCATAGTTACTGGAGGCTTCAGTCCATACTCAGGGGCTCCCAGACAGAGCGGCACAGGGCTCAGAGCAGCTGTTCATCTCCCCTCCTTACGTTGTATTGCAGATTACCTCCCCAGGGCGGGTGCAGCACCCA